CAAAATGACTCAAGAGCTATCCCATACCATACAAAATCACACTCAATATATAAACTGGGGAGAATTGGCCAAGGACTGGTGGCCCACTGCTCAGATCATTAGTCAGTGGGTGGTAAGAAATTGCATTGTGCATAGCTTGTTTTGTACATTCTTTCATCATCAATACTATTATTATTTGCCATTCCTTTTATGTCCTACTGCACTGTTTTTATCCCAACCTATGAGTCTTACCATTTTTCTGATTCTCTCCCTCATCCCACTGAGGAGGAGTGAGTGAATAGCTGTCTGGTGCTCCTGCTGAGTTAAACAACAACAGAGATTAAATCACTTGTTAAATAGAGATTAAACTTCCTGCAAGAAGAAAACTACAAAAAAGAGTACAGTCTTACCATTTCAGATTTACTTATAAGAATTAATACATTTTCAAAAGGTAGAAGGGATCATTTAATTTTTTTACTTTAACCTCATACATACCATGTCCTTGAACCTCTGAATGAATACAAACCAAACCAAGCTAAAAAAAAAAAAACAACCCAAAAAAACCCCCTTACCACAACTGTTGATAATTATTGTTTATTATTGAAAAATTATTTTTTTTATAAACTAACCTGAATATTTTTAAATGTATGATTCTGGTAGCATAGTTTTTTTTATTCACTTTGAATGTTTAAACAAAAAAATTATTTATTTGCTATTTTCATATGCTTTGGCCTCACAAATCTTTTAAATCTGTATTTGCCACATAGGCACTTACAAGGCTTATAAGGCTGGTTAAATCTTGAGATCAAGGGTTTTTTGAGTGTACTAAAGGATGAGCCCCATGGTTAAAACAAAAGGATTTTTGGTTCCATTTTAATCACTCTAATGGAATTCACTTCTGGACCATCCTTTCTGAACAAAGACAATGAGAATGGGATTTAGGAGTAATATAACACCCCTAATCTGACTTAGTATTCCTATTTCTGTGCCCAAAGATATCCCATTAAAATGTTTGGCTAGAACACTGCTTTGGGTAATTTATATTCTGCTGGCTATGCAGGACATCCACAATTAATTTACGAAACAGAATATTTTCTATTTTAATAAACATGTAATACAATATTTGGACTTGCAAATTTACTTTTGTCTGTACTTTATTATAGTATGCATTTTAAAATTCACTTAATTGCCTCACTTGCCAGATGACATTTTCTTAGTTTGTCACTTCTTTTTGTTATTTAGTAGTTCTCCAGTTCTCATGGCAATAAAAGATTTATCATTGCCACTTTGCTTTTCATTTTGCTTTCCAGATCATCAATAAAAGTCTCAAATAATCTTGAAAGATTACAAGACCCTATAGGATTGTACAATAATCATACATCCTTAGTAATAATTCTCCCAATTATGCTTAGACTCTGAGATTTGTTGAGAAGCTTCAAGAACTCTCATAAGGTGCCTCTGCAGCTGCTGCAAGCAGTTCATTTTCTTACTGAAATGTTACAGAGCAGTGAGTCATATATTTACAGAACCCTGGAAGTACTTTAATACAACAATGTAACTTCTATAATGCAAATATTTTCATTCTAAAATGTGAAATGTCACAAAACTTATTAATGGTACTTTTTGGTATTATAACCTTCTTCAGAATAGCTTTTGGGTCAAAGAAAGCATTCCACTAAGCCATCAGTGAAAGTCCTGAGAGATATTTTGGCAACTGAGTACTGAAAGATCTAAGGGGGAAGCCAAACTTCGCAAAGCTATATAGGGAAGCTGTGAAGTTAAAGACTCCCAGGAACCTTTCAGTTGATGTACACCCACACCATTTGCCCATGCACACATACCATAGCAGTGGTGCACAAATTTTCTGAGAAAATAAAATACCTCTAGCAGAGGACATGCTTTTGATACCAAAGTCTTAGTTCAATAAACTTCCATCAACATTAAGAACAAGAAAATTTGGAATATTGTTGTATCTACTGCAGTCTCAGAGGAGTGGTAAACTAACCCTTGCCATAACTCATTCAAATTAACGCGGTTGCCAAGAATATTTGCTGCCTCTTTCATTGAAAGATTAAACTCATGGGGTTTGGGATTTCAGGGTTTTTGAGACAAAAATTTGATAGAATGGAACAACTTTTAGACAAAATAAAAAGAAAAGAGGGTATTTTATACTATCACACAGCAGGAAAGCGGTACTTTTCTGAGGGACAGATAGTATAGAGCTAGTAACCCTTCTCATTCAGCTGAAAAGACCTAGTAAGTACATACAACAAAATTTTCCAGTTATAACACAGACTTATTTTCCTTTTAAAGAATAGCTTTATAAAAAGAGCAGCAGAAGAGAGCAATTCTTTTAAACAACTTTTATCTTTATTTATAATGTGAGTCAATTTAGCTTTGAAGCACTATATGGATTTCTGTTTAATAAAGAATTTATACTAGATCCAAGTCTTGCTTAGTAGAGAACCAGCACTGAGACTTGTGAACTTATATGGAGACAATATTTCTTCTTGTACAATTAAGGAGACTGAATTGAAAATAACAAAGTCCAAATAACAAATGAGCTTACTCATTTAATCTCTACTTTTTCAAGCAGAGTGAAAAGTTAAAAAAAGTTAAAGAGCACTTTTCCAATTCTGAATTTTTCAATTCTGAATTTAAAGCAATTAAGTGGGATCATCTTTATTTCTAGGTTTCTAGACATAAGTCAGTAATGTATAATAATTAAAAAAAAAGGAAGAGAAAATGAGGAAAGAGAAATAACTAATTGTGCTAAAAAAGAAGCAACAAAATATAAAACCTTATTAAGTCAATATATTTCTAAGACTGAGACAGATATAGAGGAGGATGCATGTTCTCTGGCTGAAAAAAAAAATTGTGCATGTATATATATATATATATATATATATATATATATATATATATATATAACCCCCACACACATAGGTATATATACATATATATATATATATATATATATATATACACATACACCAGATAAATCTTGTATATATGGTGTATACGGTATACTGTAGAAAATTTGCCAACACATTTTGTTTGAAAAACTGTCTTTCTGGAAGTTCCTGCCCACATTTATACCACAGATCTCAGGGATAAAGAGTACCTTATCATACAGCTGGGCCTGGGAATGTGTCACAATATGAACTGGGGAGAAAAATAAGTGTGCTCTTTAACTGAGTGTAGTTCATTAAACAGTCTACATTTTATTTCAATAAATATTGTTCTGTAGAAGTATGGCATGGATTACACAATGAGTAGGGAGCAAAGCAGCAGTACAAAGGAGCTTTTTCTTCCTCTTAGCTAGGTAGTTTGTCTTTCAGGTATCATATAAATGTCTAATAAAACTTTTGAATTAAAAGTGCTGCATAAATTGGCTCTGTTAATTCAGTGGTGAGTAGCATTCTCCTGTTCTTACACAGAGAAGCAAGTGAATTTTATGGAAGGATTGAGATTTATCTGAATGATCTCATTGCAGTAGAGTATAAAATATTTTTTTTGTTGGGCACTGTACAGTACTTAAGAGATCCTCATCTGGGAAGTGACTCCATAATCTGAAAATAAACTTAGTATATAGCTTGAAAATATGAACCCAGTATCTTGTTAAACAACAAAGCAAACACATTTTTAAAGGTATAAAACAACTGAGTCTGTTTCTAACTAATTAGGATCTTCTTTTAGGAGAAGTACTATCTGATTATTAAATTAAAGGATCTGAGACAGTGAGGTTTTGGGCAGTGTAAAGTCTTCCTAGACTGAATCATGAGTAATGCACAAAGCTGTACAAACTGGTATTTTGGATGAGATAAGGTTATAAGAATTATTAACATTTATAAGAACCCGGGTTTTTATAGGTTATGATGTTTATATTTATCTGATAGATAAACTGAACTGAATCTGAATGGGGAAGAGGACGCATGTATATGACAGTTGTACCACCTAGTATTTAAAAACTGCATGACAGCACTTGAACATTTGATAAATGAAAGAGATTAACATTATTCAGATGATTGCCTAGCACTGCTCAACAGAGTGGAGAAATGTGTTAAACAGATCTCTACTCTTTTCTTATAAACCATGCAGATATCATTGGCCATTTCTATAATGAGAAATAAAAAGGAGCCAGAGAACAATTTTATTTACTGGAACCAAGTAATCTTCACTGTTTAGGCCAGTATCAGCTATCAGTTTCTTTTATTTTACCTCACTTTTTATTATTTCTACCTAAGTAATGCCTGGATGTCCTTTAGAAATAGTTCTCTCCATAGTTTTCTCAGCCCTGTCTCTGAGGGCTAGTTTTGGTCTGCTGTTTCTTGGTCAACCATTTGATATCGTCCAACATATTTTTGTCCTTCAGCTTGTACCACATTTCCATATGACATGCCCAGAGCAGGCAAATATATTTTGGACACACCAGTATAGAGCTGCAGCACAGCTCTATACTTCATATATTTCAAATGTAAAAAATTCACATAAAACAATAAATGTATCTTAAGTCTCTTTGGACACCACAGGAGTCATTAAAAGACCCAGGTCCAGCTGTTAAGTAGCACAGATGCTGCCTGCTCTAAGTGGGCCTATAAGAAAGGAGCAAGAAACATTTTAGTGGGGTCTGTTATGGTAGAAATAAGAGCAATGGTTTTAAAATGCAGGGGAATTTGGACTAGATGGTCTTTAAAGGTCTCTTCTAACCCGAAATTTTCTGTGATTCTATGTATCTATCCATTCCATTTGGCCTCTGGGCAAGAAATCTTCTTATATAGTGATAAGGACATTTTTTGGGTTTTTAATTAAAACCAAACTATACATCTCCAAATGCCGTTCTTTTAAATCTATCAGTAAGTCAAGGTTAAAAAAAATTTTTAAAAACTCAGAATTCTCATTCTGTTGATCCTGAATTTTCCTTTTCAAATCAGGTGATTACTAGGGGCATATATGAAATTTGGTACTCACTGAAGCTCTCCATATGTACTGCTAACTTACATACTATATCTTGTCTTCAGCTGTTGCAGGGCAAATCATTTCCAAAATATGACAAATGGGATTTCCAACAAACAGGCAGTGGTGGAGGTGTAGATGAACAAATCAGTGGTGACTGTGATGATGAAGATGGTTGTGGAGGATCTGGAAGTGGAGAATTCAAAAAAGTCCTGAAAATTACAGATCGTAAGTCCATGATTCTGTTTCCTTCATGCATTTAAAGAGTGAATTGGTATGTTTTCCACTAATACATGCCGCTGAATTATCTCGGAAAAGATGTGAAAAGTTGTCTGTGTAGCACTTCAAGATTTACAGGAAGAGGCCTGTAATTATAGGATTTCTGTGCGCATGGTATCAATGAGTATCAGTTTTATCATAACACATGTTAAAATACGTTTGGTATAATATAGACTTAACACAGTATTTTAGTCAAATAATAACTGTGAAGTGGCATGTCCCTCTGAGTTATTACATTAACATAAGATATTTGGCAGTTAAAAAGAGAAACTACTAATTTTTGATGGAACTATGGCAGACCATGAGGTTTAGTGCAGGTAGTTGCATTTCATGGAAAACTGTTGGAACCAATGTACTAAAGCACTCAACAATAATGCCACTTCTGTTTCTTATGTATCTTTCTACTTTCCTTACAGTCTTGTTTATAAGTAGTTTGGGGTTTTATTTAGTTGCATTTTTTTTTTGTTTTGTTTATTCTCTGAAACACATTTGTAATAGTTTTCATTACCAATCCTGTGGCTATGCACTTGATAGGAATAGAACTCCAACCATAAGCAAAGTAAGTTACTACTTATCTGAATCAGGACATTTTTCAGCATGTCTTATTTCTCTTCCCATTTTAGCGATATAGGCAGACATGGTGGCAATATATGAATTTTTTCATCTAAACTCCATTTCTCCATTTTGAAGGTTTTTTTTCCTGTATTTTGCATTATCTATATTCACTGAACTTGAGGGTGTTGCATGTTTTCAGGCTTAGATGTGAACCCCAGGTCCTTTTTGACTTGACAGTAAAGAGGCAATTAAAAAATGTGGCTGTGTAATGAGAACGTGTAGTTTCCCATTTCTTTTTGAATGGCTGGAAAAATGTGACAGAACATTCTGGGGCATGCCTTAACAGTTCAGTTTGGAATCAGCCTAAGATCCTCTTGCACTGACACTTAATCTATACATTTTCAAGTCCTACTAAAAGTCTAGATGGGATTTTGAGCAATATCCAAAAAAGTTTGGACACTTACTTCCTTAGAGTGCCCTTGGAGATTTAACTTTGGAGAAAGAAGTTAGGAGTTCAAATATTTAAAACCAGATGTTCTTTGTAATACCGTATATATCTTATATCTATTTGATAATGACACACTGTGGTATTGAAGTACTGTAAAATAGTCCTAGAATATGACTAGAGCTATTAAGAAAGCATTAAGTGACAAAAGAATTTCAAGAACAGTATATTTCATTTCACTCTCTTCCACTGCATTAGAATTTTCTTAATATTGATATATTTAGTGCAATCTTTTCAAAATGTCAGAATTATAATTAGCCTTCATATCCTCTTTATACTATATCTTCTAAATTGTTAGAATTATAAGCTATGTGTTAGGCATAGTGAAATTTGCATGTAATTCTGTTTCATTTGAACTTTTTCTAAGATATTATAGAACAAAAATATGAATCCACAGTGTTTGATATTTTGACTTGTGCATAAATCTTGAGCTACTAGGACCTTTCATGAGCTGTTGTGATTTCATGGATTTATGCTGTCATGCATTTCCTTTTTGGAATTCAACTTAAAAGTTGTCTTTAAACTACACAACTAAAAGTTGTGTACAAAAGAGTGCAATTTTTTCTGGGGCATCAGATATGGGCTGTCCAACAGAACAGTTAAAACATTCCATTTTGTAGGATTTTATTACAATATAGATCAAGATTTTTTTTTTTCCAGAAATCACTTGTACCTTTAAGTATATGTTAAAGTGTATGTTTAACATAAATGAAGCAGGTGTTTGAAAAATTGTTGTATTGCATCACTGTGATATATGAGTAGGACATTGGGAATTTGAAGTTAGATTTAAAGTTTAAACCAATATATTTGAGTAAGAAAACAAAATTATCATCTCAACTTTAAGATTTTATGTGAGGAACTAGAGTTGAAAAAAAATAAACATAATAGGAATTGAGGCTTATATTTTTAATATCTATATTTTACATATATTTATGCAACATATATAATTTTGTGTAATTTTCTTAGCTTTGGGTGATTGGTATCAATTAAAAGCTAAGTAAAATTTTAAACTCCTTGCTTTTAAACTGAAGAGTTTGATTCAATATGATGCTATTGCTTACAGCTACTTGAAAAGTATGTCTGAATTTCAAGTGAGCCTACAAGTTGACCACAGTATGTTTGATCCTAAGCATTAGCTTCTCTATGGAGTCATAAAGTCAGCATTATTTTTCATTATCAAGAAAACTTTTTGCATTCTTTTACTTCTGGACAACTTTGCTGTCTCTCATAACCAGACAGGAAATAAACAGGGGTTCCTACATTTTTTTTTCCAAATATGTCCTAGCCATAGCCCAGGCTCTCTTTTTGGTAGCTTCTGCAGACATTTTCACCAAGGAGAGAATCCTGTGTGCAATAAATTAATGATCTTATAAAGTATGATACAAAACCAGCCCCTTTTATTACATTGCTCTGTATAAAAATAAAGACACATCCACCTTTATTTTGGTGCCGTGTCACTGCCTTTTGGACATGTGTCTGATACTCAGACCCAGAAGGAACAGAGAGGAAGGGAGGGGATATACTTTTGCCAAAATAAACTTGTACCAATTTACGTGTACACGTAGCTTGTGAAGTGAAAAATTACTTGCTTCCACATTCAGTGCTAGCGATGTAAGGATTTATTTCATTTGGTGCTGAAGACTGACAAATGTGTGGTGACAGCCTTTGGGCTTTAGAAGGCCAGTGAAGAGATCTGGTATTTGTAATAAAAAAGTGATAGTCTTGCATTACAAAAATGTTTAAAATGTGTTATATTTTGAAAAAAAATCTAGTTTTCCTATCAAACAGTTCAATCATTTTATTATATTCAATGTTTCAAAGTGCTATAATTGTGCTGACTGGTTTGCTCTTTCAAAATTACTTTTAAAATACAGTAAATAGGTGCAGTTGTTTGAAGAAATGCTACTAGAAAGGATAGTGTACTTTAAATGTATAAAATAAACAGTAGTATAAAGTCTTGACACTTCATTTGCTAGTTTTATTCTCCTCTAACCTGGGAGCTCCCACAGGACTATTTCATGCGTCACAATGAATTACCTCTTAGAAACCCCCTGCAGAATGCAGCAGTAATAACAACAAATACGTATCACCTACATATTGATTTGAATCTGTTTTCAAATAGCTCTGTGAGGAAGGGCTAATCCCAATATCACTCCATTGAGGTTCTCAATACCATCTATCAAAATTCTCATAATACTTCTAGCAAGACCACCGCTTCACTGAAAAGTGCTCTACCAGTTGTTTATCTTTCTTTGCTCATTTTAACATGCAACACACACATTTCTATACTGCAGCCAGAGCTCTCCTAGTGATCTCCCTGATCTCACTAGGGCTCAGATATGCACAAATATTGTTTGGTTTTTTTTTTTTTAATCTCACGTGATATTCATCCTCTTTGAAGAAAGAAGTCCCATAAATTTTTTATTTCTCAGGCTTCTTAATCTGTGGATTATTATTTTTTTGTTCAAATCATGCTGGAGAGGTAAAATACCTTGGAAAAGGCTTTATGTTGTGATCTCTATAGAAATAAACCTGTCTACATCTCTTGCCTGATATTATACCTCATTCTCAAGTCTCAAATGTCCTTTCTCTTCTTTCTGCTCCTTCACCCACTTCAGTATAGTTGCTTTTCTCATTGTTAAATCTGATTCTGGTAGCATATTCTGGGACCAAAACTACTTAAAGCTGGCAGTAAAATCTCCATTATGATGTTTGCCATCTGTTAAATTCTTTTTAACTCTCATCTACATTCTGTTACCTCAGTAAAGTAAGACATCCCTTATGTCTGAGTAGGATTTCAGGTTTTATTTACACACAAGAGTATTCTTCCTAACTCCTAAATGTTAATGTGAGGTGTTATTCAGGTGTCTTTGGAAGGGCTACATGACTTCACTGTTCATAGTTCACTGAGTTCAGTACATCTCTGTTAAAAATGAATAAGAAAAATAAAAGTTCTTGCTGTGAATACCATGTTTGGTCTAAATATTGCAATAATGATTTTTAACAATAACATTCTCATAGGCTATTGTTAATTGAGAGGCTAGGGGATCTCACCCTTCCTTTTCACATAAAGATTATCATAATCTGAGCTCTTTTCTCTCATAGCCTTGTCTTTTGTGGAGCTGAAAATCTTTTGAAGAGAAAGATCTATTGCAATTAGTACATTCCTGTGAAAAATTTGCATTTCCAGAATTAGTAAATACTAAGCAAGAAGTTACATATTGTCAACACATATGAAGTTCAAATATTTTTGTGTGTGCATGATCAAGTGTTGGCGCAAAAACACGTGAGGATATAAATTATTGAAGTATAAACAAAGCCAAAGGATGAACATGTTCCAAAGAATTCCACAAAAAAAAAAAATCCCAAAACCACTTTTGAATTCTTAAGCATAGACCTTCACTAGCCAGTCAAATTTGAACAGGTAAAGTTGCCAGATGTATAACATCTGAAGTTATACACCAGGTAAAGTTGCCAGATGTATAACATGAAGCACTGTGATGGGTAGATCAGACAGGTGACAGGTAACAGGTGCCACCAAACTACACAGCACTGTGAGGGCTGCTATGGGAAATTGAACTCCAGCTCAGCCAGAACCAATAGAAGCAGTGAGAGAAAAACCAAAAGCATTCCACTTAAAATGCCTTGTAAAAACTGAGAAAAGTGACAATACATCTTCTTAAGCCGTATTTTGCAAAAAGGTGTGACCTGCATAATGATATTATGCATTTGAAAAAAATAAAAAATACTTCAATTTTTGATTGTTTTTTATGTAAAGAGTATCATCTCTCTCTCTCTTAACACATTTTCTCATTAGTCAACATTTGTACTTTTTGAGTGATGAATTTAACCTGAGTAATGGATTGAAACTGTGCTGTCAGGTTGGATT